GCTTGTTATGTGATAGAAATGTACCCTTCAAACTTAAGGGAAAATTCTATAAGATGGTAGTGAGGTCTGCAATGCTTTATGGTGCTGAATGTTGGTCATTAAAAGAGAAGCATAATATTAAGTTAATTGTGGCAGAGAGAGGATGCTCAGGTGGATGAGTGGCTTTACCCTTAGAGATAGGATACGAAATGAGCATATACGTGAAAAGGTTGGAGTAGCTCCAATAGAAGATAAGATTAGAGAGAGTCGCCTTAGATGGTTTGGTCACATAAAATGACCCGGTTAGGAGAGTAGAGGTATTAGATTTGACTTGTGTTAAGAAAGGTAGGGATATACCTAAAAAGACTTGGTTAGAAAATATTAGGAATGACATTTCTTTATTAATTTAACGAGAATTTGACTTTCATAGGACACAATGGAGAAAAATGATTCATGTAGCCGACCCCACGTAGTGGGATAAAGGCTTGATGTTGTTGTTGTTGTTGTTGGATTACCTGAATTAGAACACAAAGAAAGAAGATTGCAGTAAAGAAAAGTGCGGTAAAATGAAAACCCACTTACCAAAGTGGAGGTTCAAGGAATTCACTCAATCTACTTGAGTATGATCAACCACTAAGCTGCCAAGTTACTTGAAATTCTCTCCGAAACATGTAAGCAAATCAAAACTATCTTCATTTTAGTTTTAGAATGTTTTATACAATTGAAAATACATGAATAGAGTCATAGACGCATCTCTTCATTTAAATTCAAAACAAAGAAGGGAAAGGGAAGGAGGGAGGGGTTGGCATTTTGTTTGGGCTCACTAGCAACCACCTATAGCCACCTCCTTCTTTCATGCATATTAGTGTGGTCGGCCTTGCATCCTTAACCATGATTTGTACTTAATGTATTAAGCATCAACAAAGCAAATTACATAAATTGACCACTAGCAAAGCAAATTATAACACTATGTTGTCCACATAATACTTATAATACTAAATATATGAAAATACATAAAAACATAATATTAAATGCATGAACCACTTCTTAATATGCTCTTCCTCTTGTTCTTAATGGCTTGAGCTTCATATGTTAATGCTCTTGCTCTAGTGATAAGACCTCTTCCATGTGCTTCATCAGCATATCATGCTATTCACTATACAATGAATTATTATTTCATTGCCAATTGTTAATAGCATGAATTCACATGCCACACCTTCATAACATGGCATAACATGTACTATCTAAACCCACATTCATTTTGCATAGCATTCATATCACATTTTATGAGTATAATTATCCATGAAACAAATCATATAGTGTCATGTAAATAATCATATGCTTGCATCATAATATGATGTAGGATCATGGTTTTATGTGTTGTATCACTTCGACACATATAACATGATGCATGAAATAAATAATCCATATGATATGGCTTGCATAGAAAATCATCATGATTCATGGTATCCGTCTCGTGTTGCATGTACAACTATTTGTCCACATGAACAAACACATAACATCAACATCATAAAATTAAAGTCACATAGAAAAATAATGAAATCATGGCTTTCTAAGAAAGGGAGAATATATCCTACCTCAAAAGAGTGAAAAGGCCCAAGCCAAAACTTCTCCAATATTGATGTGAAACATAGGCTAGATTCAGGAATTGCTTATGAGTAATAATGAATTGACAAGCTTAGCAATTATATAATAATGATGATCAAGGGCTGATTTAAGCGACTTCTCAATTGTTGATAAAGTAATAGCAAACAATCTATGCATCACAAAATTCAAATTCAACTTGAACTGGATTTATCTTGTTTGCCTGCTCATTTACTTCAATATGAGCTCTATTTGAGCCAGAGTTGATTTGATTTTCAAGTGATTTTTTAATCTTCTAGCTAAATTAACAACACTATTCACAACTATTTTGGCTTATTAATTTTCCTGCTAGATACAATATCTCGTCATTTATATTGAGTTCCTAAGTTCTCGTACATCATTTTTACAACTGCTGAGTTTGATTAATGATTTTAAACACCACTCTTCATAAGGCCGCTTTCAATATACATGTTGCAGAGCAATATTTGTGGTTCTTTTACCCTCTGGAGCCTCTTTTGTTCTACTCGAACCTTGTTTACGTAGAAAGGATAATTTTAGTTTGCTATAAGTTTCACCAGTTTTAGCTAAGTGAGATAACCTTCTCTACCCCTTTTGTACTGTTTATATTTACATGCCTTGACTACTCTTGCATGTTTCCGAGAAGCAAGAAAATGACCTGGCTAAAGAGTATTGCTACACCCCCGAAAAAAGAAAATTTGGTCCAATTGCTTAGGTGTTCCAACTGAAGTGAGAGAGGATGACATACACTTTTGCTGAGAAAGTGTATGATTGGGTCACCTTTAGTAGATGTGACCCAAATTGATCATATGTAATTTTCTTTTGAATGTGGAGCTTTTCTCCTACATTTAATGTACTAAATAATGTCTGAAGCAAAGTTTCCACATGTTTTGTTTCGCTGAAAGTGCTACTTAATGTTTCTCTTACCGGTTAAAGTAGATAATGTTTGTTTTACCAATTGTTATGTTTGTGATAGAAAATACTTGAGTGCGCAAGTAACCCTAAGGGAAATACTTGAGTTTGCAAGCAAACCTATTACTAATCAGTGAAAACAGCAAGAATAATGCAAAATCTGGGTGAAATCAGCCCCAAAATGATGGATTGCAATAAGAGAATCAAAGCCAAACAAACACGAAAACAATATACAAGTGATCCTCAATTCGAGAGGAGGTTCGTCTCTCCTAAATCTCTAGATAAGGTAGTCTAGAGCCCAAGACGCTTAGGAACTTCAATAGAAATCAAATCAAGCATGCCCTAACCCTAAAACACATCATGCTATATTGCTATTTAATACATAAACTTTCCAAATCAATTTTCCCTCCAAAACCCTAGTCGCCCTCTCATTTTCTAATTTGAACTCAATTGGAATAGTGGGACCTACTATTGTGGGTGGCAAGCATAGAGGAGGCGGGACTAGCCCGCCTCCTATAAACATAAACCTGCCCTGGACGGGCTAGTTGGACCGGTTCCTCCTGAACCGGCCTATCAGGCCTATCAGTTTGATGCGAATAATTATCTTCCCAGTTATTCAATGGATATTTGCTTTTCAATGCTAACACAGCAATTCCACAATATCTTGTAACTGTGTGTGTTATTGTATGCTTGTTAAATATTCTTTATTCAGTTTTCTTTTGGAGATTTCTTACTTGTTTTTTTTTTTCCCTTCAGGTTTTGTGTGGAAAAATTGTCTCTCGGGATCAGTTACCAGCAGAAAATCTCTCCATGGTAGAATATTTTCAAATGCGTACCTTATACATCGATGCAATTTGGGAATAGGTGCTTCTTATGATTTAACATCAACTTCTCTACTGGATGCAGATCTGTACTTCAGCTGTAAAGGAGTCCGTATCCAACGCAAGTCTATCTAACTTTTCCTGCTTTGTGTATATTGTTATTAATCAGCTAGAGACATTTGATTGTTCTACTTGGCTTTTCTTTTCTTTTTTATTATTATTATTTTTTTTGGTGGTTTGCTTCCCTTATGCAGATACATGGTGATAAATTTGATTCTTTTATGAGAAACTTTGAGAGATCATTTGACAGCACATTAAAGACATTGCTAGTTTTTAACAAGGCTTCTACTTCAAGTCAAAAAAATAAATTGAGAGAGGAAAGACCTCTTACTGTAGGAAATAAATTGATCAACGAATCAAATAATGATGAACAGGAAAACAGATCATACAGTTCTTTGGGAGTTAGTAGCTGTGAGATTGAGCAGATACCTTGTTCTCTTGATCCCCTCAGTTGTGAAGAACATTTGGGAGAAGATGAAGCAGTCAGTTCAACAAACCAGCTTGCTCTTCGCATCGAATCCAATCAAGAGCTGGTTCGAGCTTCTCATAATTTTATTGCTGGCGGTTTTAGTAAATCTATGTTGACCACCTTTGAGAAATCAGTTACAGAACATACTAGATCCAATGACCTGAAGGAAGTTGAGATAGGTTTGACTATGAGAAAGTTGCAGATGAAGCAATCTCAGTTAGAGATGAGTTCTTATGCAAATTGGTTGGAGAAGGTAAAGATTTGCATGAATATGTCTAAAGCTTCTTTCAAAGAGGACAAACTAAGGAATCAGATGCAGGAGACAAGGCATGCAGAACTCAGAAGAAATTGCATAGACCTTCTTGTGAGTGGCTTGATTCTCATGTGTGCTTTCCTAATTTATGGAGCATCAATCTTTTCATACCAGCGGATCACAGAGGCAACATCATCCTGCAGCACTGTGTCGAGAGTAAGTCTTTATTTGGCTTAATTTCGTGTTGATTCTTAATAGTGGACAGGATTAGTTTCCTGGAAAAGTGTTTTTACAATTTTTTATTTTCTATTTAATAAATATAAAAAAATAATTAATCTTATTTATTATAAACTAAGATTCGAATGTTATATCATAATTATATGAAATTCATCATAGCATTATGTTAGATCGGTCCAGCAGGTCCACATGGGATCGGCCCAGGCGGAACAGAGGCGGAAGTTCCGCCTCTCCTGAGTATGCCGATCAAACCGCAGAATCCAATGGAGCTTTTTGGGAAAGAGTTTTGAGGGATTTGAGAGGGAAATTTGAATGTGGGGACTATTAAGAGATTTCTTTTTGAATTGTATGCATAAAATAGTTTGTTTTCCTAGGGTTGACATCTTGAATTTGACTGAAATTTGAGATCCCTTAGGGTTATGGGCTCTAGCGGCATCTAGAGATTTGGTATTTTCCGTTTCTATTTCATCAAATAATACAAATTACCTATTGTTTTCCTGGTTTTTGTGCGGATTTTTACGGAAAATTCTGGCTGTTTTCCAATGATTGTTAGGAAATTCTTGAGATCTTCAAGTATTTCCTATCACATTCATTGCAACAATTCATCATTATGCAACACATAAGTATCTCATGGTTCTACTTACTATTTTCTTTTCTTGAAAGCAGTTACTATTTTCTTTGCAGGGGACCAAGTCCTGGTGGATGCCTAAACAAATGGCTTCTGTCAGTTCAGGTTGGCAAGTTCTCAGATGCCACGCAGTGGTCATAACCAGGATGCTTTTTGGTTTGTTGATGATTGTCGTTATCGCCTATTCGCTTCTCCAACGATCCGCCATTTCAGGCTCTACAATGCCAATCACCTCCATTCTCTTGCTCCTAGGTGTTGCTTGTGGCATTGCAGGGAAGCTCTGCGTGGACTCACTGGGAGGAAGTGGATATCACTGGGTTATTTACTGGGAAGCTCTCTGTTTGCTTCATCTTTTTGCTAATATCTTTCCATCGATCTTGTACTTTGTTCTTTATGGTCCTGTTTTAGTAGCCAAAAGGGAAAAACCAGTTTGGCTACCGTATTGGATCAGGCGATACACATTTTATGGGATATTGCTTTTGGTTCTTCCAACAATGGCTGGTCTGTTGCCCTTCACATCTCTGATTGACTGGAAAGATCACTTCACTGAAAAGATAATGGCTTTGATTTCAAAGGCTGAGCAGAAAAGCTGAGGGAAGAGTTCAGCTGTTGTTTAGCTATATTTCGACTATTTCATCAGCTGGTCAGTTAGTAGGTTTAGGTTTCGTTTGGGACGGTTTTTTTGCTGCTTTTTAAAGCAGTTTTTAGTTTAAAATTTTTAACTTTTGTATTAAAAAGTTACTTTAAGAAGCAGGAGGAAAGCTGTCCCAAATGAAACCTTAATTGCTACCATAACCTGATCGTCTCGGCAAGCTGGGGCGAGTTGATTGATCCAGAAAGGTGGTTTTTTTTTTGTCTTTGCTGCCCTGGTTATCCACCCAGGTGCAGGATCTTCAGTGCATTTCAGCATAATTGGAGCCATTGTTGCAGTATAAGCTTGATCGTTAGTGTGACATATCTATGTTTTCTTATTCTGCTTGAAAGCATTTTGTAAATTTTCGTTAAGATTATTGAGGGTGATTTAAGTTATGTTATTTTCTTGTTATCTTCTGATTGTAGTAACCTTTGGGCTCTATTTATGGTTTAATTTCAATGCTTTATGTCCACTGGAGAAAAATTTAATGTTTGGCATTCTGTGCAGAGGAAGCCATCATAAGTTTTCTTCAACTCAAACCTGTAGTGGACTATGTCCCAAGCTTGCTTTGGTTCATACCTGAGGTAAGCTCCAAGTAGAGGAGAGATTATTGGGTTCGGACATCGGACACAGTTTACCTTCGATATTCACAGTACTAAGCTCGGTACTGTGAACTACTAAGTACCGAGCAATACTGAGCAGTACCGAGCTCATTACTGAGTAGGAGGTGATTTGGTGTATTTTCATTGGGCTCCGAACATGTCCGGTGATCGTACCTAATAATTTGCCCAAGTAGAGTTTGGACTTTGGCTTCTTTTGGGGTGGTTTTCTTACTTCTTCTTAAAGTAATTTTTTAGTATAAATATAAAAAAATTGTACTAAAAAACTACTTTAAGAAGTACTTAAAAAGTTGTACCAAACGAAGCTTTAGGTTTTGTTTCGGATGGCTTTTTTATTGTTTCTTAAAGTAAATTTTCTGTGCAAATTTTTTTTAAATAATTTGTGTTAAGGTGTTTTAGAAAGCAATAAGAAGTTTTTCCAAATAAAGACTAAAGTTTTGTTTGTGATGATTTTTTATTACTTTTTAAAGCATTTTTCAGTGTAAATGTAAAAATTAAAAATTTTACATTGAAAAGTTGTTTTAAGAAATAATAAGAAAGTCGTCTCAAATGAAATATTAGTCATCATAATTAATTAGTTAAGCTCAAGCTTAAATTAGAGGTTATTTTAGATAGCTTGAGTTATTTGCGCTCATTTGCTAAATCAACTAAACAACTTCTTGAATTTCCAGGACATTCATTTAATGGGATATAAAGATGTTGCAACTCGGGCTTTCGAGTTTATGATTTTGATGATAACAAATAATATTTATTAATTTTTTATTTCTCCTGGTATTTGTAGTGCATATTTCTTTCTATGTTAACTAATATTTCAGGTACATCATGCACCGTTCTTTGAAGATTCAAGGCTCAAGATTGCGTAGAATTGGTCGTATTAAATGAGTCTGTAATTTTCATTTATTGAGTCAAGTCTTATAATGATGTATGTTAGTTTGTTGATCATGCACACACATAGAGGGAGCAAAAAATGATTATGAATATTTTAACTTTTCTGTTCATCGTACTGTACGATCTAGTGTAACAGAAATAAATTAAAATATTTATTTTTCCTGAAAAAATTAATTTTGAATATAACTAATCGTACTGTACGATCACCACATCGTACTATACGATCTGTTATAATTAGAAAGCCCGCCGTCCATTAAGGCTTCGTTTGGGATGGCTTTTTTATTGCTTTCTAAAACAGAGTTTTAGTACAAATTTTTTTATTTTTGTACTAAAACTCCGTTTTGAAATAAAGCAGTTTTTTAGTATAAATATTAAAAAATTTGTACTAAAAATTACTTTAGAAAGCAGTTAAAAAGTTGTACCAAACGAAGCTTTAGGTTTTGTTTCAGATGGCTTTTTTACTGTTTCTTAAAGTAAATTTTTAGTACAATTTTTTTTTTTAAATAATGTGTTAAGATGTTTTAGAAGGCAATAAGAAAGTTGTCGCAAATGAAGACTTAAGTTTTGTTTGAGATGATTTTTTTATTGCTTTGTAAAGCATTTTTTCAGTGTAAATGTAAAAATAAAAAATTTTACATTGAAAAATTGTTTTAAGAAGCAATAAAAAAGTCGTCCAAAATGAAATATTATACTTCGTTTGGGACGACTTTCTTTCTGCTTTTTAAAGCAGTTTTTTAGTACAAAGTTAAAAAAAATGGTACTAAAAAGCTACTTTAAAAAGCATAAAGAAAGCCGTCCCAAACAAATCCTTAGTCATCATAATTAATTAGTTAAGCTCAGACTCAAATTAGAGGTTATTTTAGATCAGCTTGAGTTATTTGCGCTCATTTGCTAAAGCAACTAAACAACTTCTCGAATTTGCATGACATTCATTTAATCGGATATAAAGAGCAACTGTAAATAAATTTTTATGAATAAAAATTATATCCAGCTATTCTGATATAAATTTTATCATAATGGATTTGAAAGTTATTAAATTTATTTATAAATTAGAATAATATAAATTCTTTTTAAGTAGTCTTAATCTCAAAATAAATATATTAATTTGTAAATTTATTATTATGTAAAACATATTAAGATGTTTCAGAATAATTTACTCTCTTTATAAATGAAAAAATAATCAAAATGATCTTTTAATTTTTTATGAAAGATCAAAATAATCTTTATTATATTAAAGAATTATTTTGATCTCTTAATTTCTTAAATAGCAATCAAAATAGTACTGTCATGAGATTATTTTGATTTCGTTAAAAATTCAATAGATTTGATATATTCTCAAAAAATTATCTTGATCGAGCACGAATCTTGAGGCAAAATCGAACCGGAAACTTCAAAAATTAAATATGGGAACACCTGAACTCAAATTTCAACGAGCTTATAGTCAAACTGAGCGTCTCGGAAATACAAACCCAACGACATCAAATTCAACTCAATCCGAGCCCAAATAAGCCCAAATCAAGTGCCCGAAGCCCTGTTGGAAAGCTCATACCACAATTTGAGTTACCAAACGGTCTTCGATTTTAACGAGCTTATAGTCGAATCGAACGGCTCGACTAGACAAATCTAACGAGCCCATGATCGCCAAATCCGACATCACTAAGACCTCCAAATGTCTGTCGAACAGTGCACAATCCAAGGATTCAACATCAACCGTCCATTCGTCCACTCCCTATTTGCCCCTGATCTCACACCTATTTACGAACTATGCCACTCCAGAAAATCTATAAATAGAGCCCTCATTTCTCATGAGAGGAGATAAAAAAGAAAAAAGAAGCAAGAAGAAGAGAAGGAGAGGAGAGAATAGCTCCTCCTCGACCACCGCTGGAGTTCTTCCCGTCGTCAGAACGATGCCAGAATCCCGCCGGACGCTCGACTGACGCAGGAACTCTGCTCGACTTTGTAACTGTATTTCAATTCAGAAGAAACTCATTATAATTTGATCGTCCTAACTTGTTGGACGAATCAACCTCTTGTAACTCAAACTACACTAGTGAAACTTTTCAACTGGGTGTGGCCCCGTGTTTTTTTTTTTCCATTTTCAGGGTTTTCCACGTAAAAATCCTGGTGTTCTTCTATCTTCTATTTGTGTGTGCTAAATATCCGTACAACGCTCAGACGAAAATTTTTTAACTCTACCGCCGCGTATATTCTAGCTCGCAACAAGATTAAAATGATCTTTAAAATAATTGAGGATCATTTTATTTCTTCATAAAAAATCAATAGACTATTTTGATGTTTTTCTTTTTAATAAATTCTATTTTAAGTGAAGAACAAAACAAAGCAACAATACATTCATCTAAAATCTTGAGCTTCTTGAACAATATTTGCAAACTTTACAATTTCCAATATTATTCTCCTCTCATTACAAACAATAAAATGAACTTATTTTACGCTTATTTGAAAGCAGTCAGAACTCAGAAGCTGCAAGCCATTCACTTCTGACTTATTACATCAGTGCAGAACAACCATTTCAATCCGAGCACTTGGCTTTTTCCATAAATTTTTGCATTTTTCTTTTTCTTTTCTGTGCCAAATCCATAACTGAAAAATCAGATAATCTATTTGCAGTTATAATCTTATAAAGTTTCACAAATATTCATAGGTTATCATGCATCAATATTTTATTAAATTAATGACACTCATAATGCATATCTACACATATTAGATTTTAAAAGAACTTACAAAAAAAATAGAAAAGTGACAATAGACTTTTTATTTTAAAAGAGATTGTTACAATTAATTTGTTTAGACTAAGAATTTGTTTGGGATGGCTACTGCTTTTTTAAAAGCTGTTGTAATACTTTGTAGAAAGAAGATTCATAGCATAAAAATTTATTAAAAGAAGTGAAAAGATAATGATCAAATAAAAATTGTGGTAGTAATCTGAAAAATAAAGCAATAAAAAAGCTATCTCAAAAGAAGCCTAATTCTCTTTATTGACTCTTAGGTTTCGTTTGGGACGGCTTTCTTCCTGCTTCTTAAAAAGGCTTTTTATTACAAAAATTGTAATTTTTATACTAGAAAGCTGCTTTAAGAAACAAGAAGAAAGCTGTCCCAAACAAATCCTTAATATGATATCATGGAGAAAAAAATATTTAAGTAATTGACCTCACATAAGGAGATGAAGATTTGATCTTGTTGTTGTTTTTTTGTTGTTTTGAATAAATAAAAAATTTATTAAATTCATATTGAGAATTAAAATTTAATATAATAGTACTAAGAAAAGAAGGCAGAAAAGAGAGTTTTATAACTTTTTATAACCTCAAATGATTGAAAATTAACCAAAAAATAAACAAATGAATAAGATATGCTTAAAGGGCTTACCTTTCGGCCAATCCTTTAACAACTGGTGGACATATAGCCATCCTTTGATATAAGCCAAAGAATGGGCTAAAGAAGAAACAATGAACGCCACCACGAATAGAAGGCTGATCAAACCCAATAACACAATCAAACTAAGCAATAAATATTCTTTTTAGTTTAGGGTTTAATAAATATTTTATAATTAATGTTTTATTTGAGACAACTTTATTATTATTATTCTTATTTTTTCAGATCAAAATCATAATTTCTATTTGATCAAATAGATCCTAAGATTTCGTTTGGGATGACTTTTTTACAGCTTTATTTTTCAGATTGTAATCATCATGGGCAGATCCCACTCATGTGATGCCCACCCTTAAGAAAAAAATTAATGTATGGTATAGGAGGGGTAGTTTTGGAATTCTACCCCCCTCAAGAATAAAATTTTGCCCTCACGTTGTTTGTCAATCCATTCAAAGTTCCGAACATTTCATCTTCGCAAATAAATAATAAAAATTCTCTTATAAATTTAATAATATAATTTAGGTTTATTATTATTACTATTTAATGTTATTATTATTATTATTATTATTATTATTTTATTTTTATCTGTATTATTATTATTATTGTCATCTAATTAATTAAAAAATTGTTCAACCTAAAAAAGACGTTGAATCTGCCCTTGATAATCAAAATTTTTATTTGATTATTATTTTTTTGTTATTTAAAAAAATTATATTAAGAAGCTACTTTTTATCAGAGCTTTAAAAAATTATTTTTTCTACCGTTGTTTCATAAAACATCAAGAAAATAGTCCCAAATAAAACCTAAATTAACCTATTTCATTCTGGCTTAGCTAATATTAAAGAAATATCACTATGAAATATTATCGAGCAAAATAATAATAAAATCTAAAAAAAAATAGATAAATTCACCTAAAAATCTCATTTTATTGATGGTTTTGATAATTTTACGGTCATTCAAGTATATTAGAAATAGAACAAGTAGTTATTACCAGCAGCGCTATCCATGGGATCACCACCCTGTTCCCGCCGCTCGCCGTCGTTCCGGCTGTCCAATCCCGGCCGCGATGGGCCCCTAAAGGCGGGCAAAACAGTGAAAGGGTTCCATCTCTCCGGCACTTGCCGCCGCCGCTGACGCCTATTCCCTCCTCCGCCGACGGGTTGTTCCCTGCTCCGTTCTCCGGTGGCAGGCTCTTCGCCGCGAAGCTGAAACCTGCAAACAGGGCAAGAGTTATGCATCCGAAGCCACGGCACGAGGCAGCTCGAGTGGTACACGTGGCGGCATGGCATCTCCCTCGCCTCTTCCCCCACGGAAAATTCCTCCTTGCATACAGGGCACTCCGAGCCGCCGCGGAGATGAGCCGCTGCGATCGCCACAGTCGGCAAGGCGTCAATGGAGGAACTTGTTGCCGGCGGTGGCCCAGTTCGGTCGTTCTCTGTAAGTTCCTCGATCAGCTCACTGAGATTGGGCCCGGTGAAGTAGTCTCCAGGGTCCAGAGCCGGACGAACAGAGTAGCTGGGCGAAATCCATGGAGGCGGCGGCGGCGGCGGTGGTAAAGCGAGTTGGCCATGGATGAGCTGGGGGTGGAATGGAGTCCACGTCGGGAAGAGGTGGTGGAGGTGGAGATGGGGGTGGGGAGAGGAAAAGTCGAATAGGAAGTTCGCCGGTGGCGGCCGTGGAGGTGGCGGAGGTGGCGGAGGCCGCGGAGGAGGGATGTCGAGGTCGAGGTCATGAACAAACGGGCCGAAACAGCGGGGGCAGAAGAGGTCGGAGGTGGCGGAGAGAGAGGGAATGATGGAAACAGGGCGGCGGCATTGGTGGCACCAAAAGAGGCGGAAGACTGCGCGGCGGCGGAGATTCGGAGGGACGGGAGGAGAAGGGGGAGGCATTGGCTAGCTGTTGTTAATGGAGTTGGGGACTGCGGAGAGCAATAAGGGCGATGGATTTATTGGGAAGGTGGAGAAAAGGGAGCTCAGAGTGGAAAAGCATATCTTTTATGAAGGAAAGAAGTTATCTTCTTGTCTTTAAGGAACTGTTGCGGAGTGTTTAAACTACAAACTACCTTTGTCGCCTCTTCCAAGGAAGAGAGAGAACGAAGCTTTTTCTAAGGTTTTAATCTACAATTAGTTTAATGCCGAGTTGTTTGTAAAGATAGCTTCTTCTAATAATACATTCATCTATTAAAAATCAGATAGTATGAAGTAATTAGGTGAGAAGACTTTATGATAATTTGGCTTTTGTATTAATGACATAGCTATGTGTACAGCTGCTTTTTCATAATTTTATTTTTTCATACAATAATCAGTTATATTTTAATTTTAGGGGATATATATATATATATATATCATTTTATATCATTTTATATCATCATATTTATATATCTAGGGGTGTCAATTTCCAGTCACGGGTCGGCTTCGGGTCGAATCCGAAACTGACCTGGGTTCAAACGGGTCAGAAATTTGAACCCAGACCCAACCCGGGTAGGTAAACAGGTCGGAAATTCGAACCCGGACCTGACTCGGCGGGTTGCCGGGTTGACCCTCATATGCCCCTCATCTATTTCATTCCTACCACCCATAATATTTTATAAATTTTAATATTTCATTCCTTGCACTTATATTTAATTTATGCGTGGTAGTCATGAAATATTAAATTTTTGAATATTATATATGTAAATAGCATAATATAAGAAATAAGCATTAAGAATAAATTCATAGTAATTAAGAATAATGATTAAGAATAAGCTCTAAGCATTAGGAAAATGTAGACATTTGTAACACATAAAATAATAGTATAATACTAATAGATTAAGTATTTTATTTTGAAAAAAATTTAACAACAAATACAATCTCAAATATCTTATAGTAAAAAATAATTTTTCACAATAAAAATGCCAAAACATAGTGAAAAGCTATCGCAAAAAACCCCTTATTCAGTGCTAAGAAGCCAAACATAAATGTAAACAAATAAGACACAATAAATCACTCTTTCCAAACAACACTCTAAAAAAAAAAATTACTAAAAAATTGCTTTAAAAAACAGTAAGAAATTCATCTCAAATGAAACAACAACAACAACAACATCAAGCCTTTATCCCACTACGTGGGGTCGGCTACATGAATCCTTTTTCTCCATTGTGTCCTATTAAAAGTCAAATTCTCGTTTAAATCTAATAAAGAAAGGTCATTCCTAATATTTTCTAACCAAGTCCTTTTAGGTCTACCCCTACCTTTCTTAACATAAGTCAAATCTAATACCTCTACTCTCCTAACCGGCCGGTCATCGCAAGGCCGCCGTTTTATGTGAACAAACCATCTAAGTTCGTATCCTATCTCTAAGGGTAAAGCCACTCATCCACCTGAGCATCCTCATCTCTGCCACACTTAGCTTAGTATTATGCTTCTCTTTTAAAGGCCAACATTCGGCACCATAAAGCATTGCAGGCCTCACTACCATCTTATAGAATTTTCCCTTAAGTTTGAGGGGTACATTTCTATCACATAACAAGCCCGATGCATTCCTCCACTTCAACCATCCAACTTGAATTCTGCTGATAATATCCCCATCTATTTCACCATCATTCTGAACAATAGATACAAGATATCTAAAACGTGTACTCTTATTAATGACTTGATCATCCCAAATGAAACCTTAGTTAAAACATTTTTAAGAAGCAATAAAAAAGCCATCCCAAACGAAGCCTCAATCTCATAAAAAAAAAAATCTTAAATATGTCACACTAAACAAATAGAAAGGGAAAATTGATTATATATGCCTTATGGTATAACTATATGTAATTGAACAAATATCCATATTATTTATTTTCTTAAAGAAATATATCTAAAGATTTCTTTCAAATACTCTCATACTTAATACTTACCGTTTGCATATTAAAATTTGTGTCAAATGAAATTGGTTTGAACTTAAACACTTTATTTGAACTTGGTTTTAACCTTGGTTTAGACCTACTTCGAACCTTAATTTAGGCTTCGTTTGGGACGGCTCTTTTACTGCTTTCTAAAACGGAGTTTTAATACAAAAATAAAAAAAATTGTACTAAAACTCCGTTTTAGAAAGCAATAAAAAAGCCGTCCCAAACGAAGCCTTAGACTTGTTTCAAACCTTGATTTAAACATTTGTCTGAGGGTAATTCAAACATGAATTCATGCAATTTTCTCATGAACACTTTAGGGTTTGTCTCGCACTATCATTAGAGAAGCTTGGATGAGATCGATGGAGGGAATCAACTACTAGATTGATTACGAGTGAGAAGTGAATTTTGTGAATAAGACCAACAACATGTAAAGGAGACAAACGACATGTGAGGAGAATATGAGTTTATAGATGGGATCGATAGTGTGTAAAGGAGAATAGGAGTTTGAGACAAACCTCACGAGAGAAGACATTAGCAGGACCAACAATTTGTAAAAGAGAACAGTTCATGACAGGCATTGTTGGGGAAGGCATTGCAGGATCAACAATATGTACAACATCAACATCAAGCCTTCACCCTTCTTCTCGATTTTGTCTTGTTAAAAGTTGAATTTTCATTTAAATCTAATTAAAAAATCATTTCTAATATTTTCTAACTAAATCTTTTTATGTTCACCTCCACTTATCTTAAGATAGGTCAAATCTAATACATCTATTCTTAATCGGGTAATTAGAAGGCTGACGTTTTATGCGACCAAACCATTTAAGATGATTCTCTCTATCTTATTAGTCACTAGAACTACTCCAGGCTGACGTTTTATGCGACCAAACCATTTAAGATGATTCTGTCTATCTTATTAGTCACTAGAACTACTCCAACCTGTTCACGTATATACTCATTTCATGTTCTATCTCTAAGAGTAAAGCAACTTAAAGCAACTCATCCACCTGAGCATCCTCATCTCATCTACAATTAACTTTATTATATGCTTCTCTTTTAATAGCCAATATTTTGCTCCATAAAGCATTGCAAGTCTCACCACAATCTTATAGAATTTCCCTTAAATCTGAGGGATACTTTTCTATCAACAACAGACCCAATGCATTCCTTCACTTCAACCATCCAACTTGAATTCTATTAATAATATCCCTATCTATTTTACCATCACTATGAATAATAGACCAGAGATATCTAAAACATATACTTCATTGGGAATGTGTGAAGGGAAATATTCATTCATGATGAGCATCATAGCACTGAAGACATGAAGGAGAAGATTAATCCATGCCCAATCTTACTATGAGAAGGCATCAACAAGATTAGACCTAAAGGGTCAATAATGGCAAGAATTCAAACTAGGTAAAAATCAATATACAAAAAATAAAGCTTAAAAAACTAAGCAAAAACTAGTGCTGATGATGAAAATCTCTCCTCTATAAAATAGCTTTGTTGGCATTGAAATATGCTCAAATGAAGCTATTAGATTCAAAAGACATTACCAAGCTCTGCAATTGTTTCAACAACCTCTTATCAATAGATTAAAAAACATTTAAAGAGCAGAATATTAATAAATTAAAATTCGCCATACCGATTAACAAAGTACCCCTTGATTTCTTCCCTCTTAAAACCCAAATTTAAGCTACCTGCTGAGATTAATCTGTAGCAGAGCAATGGATGTCATCAAGCTCCATGATTTATTTTCTCTTCAGCTTTTCCTTCATCCTCTCTACAGCGGCCTTTAAGGTACCTTCATCCTTACAAAAGGTGAATCTCACTAGATTCTTCCCTTCCTCTGGGTTGAGATAGAACACACTAGTTGGGATGGCAACAACACCTACCTCCTTAATCAAATGCTCACAGAAAGAAATATCATCTGGAAATCCAAAAGGAGTATGATCCACCACCACAAAATAAGTCCCACTTGATGGGTAAACAATAAATCCTACTTCCTTAAGCCCATCCACGAGAATCGCCTTCTTCGCATTGTAATCTCTTCTAAGCTCGTCGTAATACGATTCGGGTGCTCGAAGTGCTACCGATGCCGCCCATTGCATTGGAGTTGAAGTAGCGAAGGTCAAGAATGCATGAGCCTGTCTTAGACCCCATGTCAAGTGACTTGGAGCTATTGCCCAGCCTATCTTCCATCCTGTCAAGGAGAATGTTTTTCCTAAGGAGTTCATGGTCACAGTCCTCTCACGCATGCCGGGAATTGAAGCGATGGAGATGTGCTCCGCCGCAAATGCCAACTTATCATAAACCTCGTCGGTGAAGACCAACACATCATTTTCGATGCAAAGGTTTGCGATGAATTCAAGCTCATTCTTTGTGAGCATCTTTCCAGTTGGATTGTGGGGTGTATTTATGAGTATTGCACGAGTTTCTTTAGTTACTGCTGAGTTGAGCACGTCGAGAGGGACAGCAAAATCAGGTGGGCAAAGTGTGATAGATTTGATTTTTGCACCAGCCATTGAGAGAGTTGCTTCATAGGAATCATAGAATGGAGCGAATAGAATAACTTCATCACCGGGATTGATCAAGCCGAGGATCGTGGCGGCAATGGCTTCTGTGCAGCCAGATGTGATGGTCACTTCTTTTTCTGGATCAACTTCAATGCCACTGTCCTTCTTGAACCTTTCAGCAATGGCAGCATTGAGAACAGGGACTCCATAACCCCTTGCATATTGATTATTTCCTGCTATAATGGCTTGGATTGCTGCATCTTTGACAAAGTCTGGACCATCAAAGTTTGGGAATCCCTGGCCAAGGTTTATTGCTCCGTGCTTGATGGCAAGATTGCTCATCTGAGTGAAGATAGTTGTCTTGAATTTCTCCAGGCGCTTTGCAACCTACAAAATCGAAGAATAACAGTTAACGTTCAGAAGCCTTAATTTATTATAAACTGCGTATAACAATGTTTCGGATCATGACGGAAAGAACGAGAAAAAATAGACAGATTATTGATAGCAGCACTAAGTTTTTTTTTTCCCTTCTATGAATGTAATATTAGGCGTCTCTTGGAGAGACTAGTTGGGGCATAAGAGAATCTAAAACTAAGATGGATGTGGCAAAAACCTTGAAGTGAATTGAAAATGATGATTTTAAAGGAAAATGTAAAGTCCGATAGAGTTGATGATGGTAATGTTACAATAATGACGATGTGAACATTTTTATATTTAAACAATAATTAGCACAAAAAAAGAAATCCTAAACAACAAGTGCGACGTACTTTCAATTCTAAAATTATGTATATCTTCCATGAGTTTTCTAGTTTTCAAAATAATTTTTCCACCTAAACTTTTAATAGGCAAATATATGCAAACCAACAAAAAATTAAGCACAAATGATCAACTTTAAAGCACTTATATATAACAAGCAATAGGGAAGGATTTATTGACCGAATGTTGTGAACTTGCTATGAAAAGTCGCTGACCGAGTGTGGTCACCAACTTGCTATGGGAAGTCCTTGATCGAACTTGAATGTGGGCCCTCCTGAGCCGGGCTAATTTGTTGTGGAATTGAACCAGCTTAGCCTAAATCGAGCATGATGTATTTGATATACATTTAATTTCTTGATTCTCTCAAGGTGAAGTCCATCATACATTACTATGGGCTCATCCATGCACCAATATTACCCAACTCACTGGCGAGTTTGGTCACACTCATTGTCTAATTGAGTAGTGAGTTAGGTGGTGTTTAAATTTGTTTGTTTTGATGCATGTTCCCTGTCAAAGGCCATAAAGAACATTTAGTGCTATTCGCCTTTAAATTTATTAAAAATGAATGAATCACAAAACAATGTTCGTGACTAGAAGAAATTTTTCTTTTTCGTGAAGTTGGCCAAGGGTTGGCCTTCCCCCACTCATCTTTGTGAGATCCCCTCATTCAAGTTGGCAGCTACAAAACTGACTGAGGAGCACACATTATATACCAACCTAACAAAGAAGGAGCTTGATATTGTTGAGTACATATCTTTGGTGTTAATGGTGGGTGGTATTTTTGTCGAGGTGCCAAGTAACAACAAAACAACAAGATAGATTTTTAATGCATTGAGTTTATTTTGGTAGTTCCTTATACCTCCATCTTTAGTTTAGCAAATTCATGTTAACATTTCTCCTTGTGTCGCCGAACATTAGCAACCACCGCTAAGCAAGATGAGTTGCTGGGGGAGAGTCTAGAGTTGGTACAAGCAAAGAGGCGTCGAAAGAAGAGTTGGAATCAGCAAGCTTGAGTCAAGTTATTTCCATGAAACCGGGCAAGTTCACAGGAAGTTTTTGTGCATGTCAAAACTATTTAAGGTTGTGACTTCTACAGAAAATTCTTCTCCGTCTATGGAAGTCAATATTAAGCCAAGCGGGTTAATAGCTTTTACACATCCATTAAGAGGTTATCAACATAAATTTGTCTACCGAAAAAACAAAGTTGGTCATCAATTGGGATGACTAGGGGCAGCTAATTGTGGATGCCAACGTCGATCCCCTTATACCCAATGGTCGCTTACAAGCTGGTGTGGCATTGAAAAGGTATTAAAAAAATTTACTTATATGAGGCACTCCATAGGTACCAAGAATGAAAAGCATCACGGCATTCCTAGAAACAATATAATAATGATTTGAGCTCCTTCAAAGTAGATGTGTGAAAAGAGTTAGAAGACATGATCATTTTGTGACAAAAAAGTATTAAGCTTACAGAGTGAGTCCAAGGAATTGGATTTTTCTTTAGCAGGGTCAGAGGGGAAAAGAAGAACTCGTCAAAGCTCTCGAGGCATCACAGTTAAGACTTGCCTAGTTGGAAAAATCTCTAAAGAAGTCAGAATATGGCCCCAGCATTTTCGCTCCTGATCTCACCGCGTATGTCAGTATAGATGACTATAAAAAGAACCTGATGAGCAAATACAAGAATGGTACCGAGATTTGCTTAAAAGTCCTACTGAGTCGGCATGTCGTGGATCCTACCAGGCATTACATGAATTACTTTTATAGCTATGCTATCAACTTCTTAGAGGATGAAGCAGCCTGAGTCCACCAAAGCCCCGGCGAGGTAGACCTAAGAGATGGCGATAGGGCATTCCAAGCCTACATAGATTATTGCATATCTTCCTTTTATCTACCCTTGTACATGTATTTTTTGTACCTTTATCAAATTAAATAAAATGAAATATTTTCTTTTTCAATTCTATGTTTGAATGATATGTTTTGTCGGGTGAAATGTTTAAATGATGTGTTTTGTCGGATGAAATGAGTAGGTTGTGACTTGATCAAATATAACAAATCACTACCTAAAATTGAACTCCATCAAATATAGTAATAATAGAGCTAATTCAGAACTTCTATCAACCACTGGATAAAGCTAATCAATAGATCATCCTGTGGCCCTCAAAATAAGAATTTAGAGTAGCAGGCATGGTTGGCTAATCCACTTTGTCGAGTAGTTCAATGACAATTAAATGACTTCTGCGGTATGGTGGAATTGCTAGTGCTGACTTCTCAAATAATCAATTGATTGGCTAAAAAGTTAGTCAAGTAATCAGTTGGGACCTCTTGGCTGATTGGTAAATTTTATAGCATGCTACATTGAGTTCCATTAGCTAGAAGATGAGTCAACATCTTCAAGTTGTCGACCTTCTTACCCCTACGTGATTTTAATGACACTAAGATGGACCTCTCACAAGAGATGTCATTTTACGTACTCACACTCTACTAAATGCAAACTTGGTTGCAAAGGAGGGATATGCTTTCCAGGACTAGGTTGTGTCAATTTCACACTCTGAGAGTTTTGGCGAGTTCCTAGAAATAGGTAAAACATTGTAATTCTACAAAAGTTCACTTCCCTGAGTGTTAGATAGAATAAGCACCGATCATACTACCGAGTTGAATTTCATAAAAGCGAGCTCACCATGCACTTGATAAATCAACGATGAGACAAATAATTTCACTGTCGAATATTTAGATCTTATTTATTTTTATGAGCTCACTATATACTTTTGTAATTTTGTTGATGGGATTCAACTCACAACCATGTGTAAAAGGCGATTTCGTTAAGCACAGATTGTCCATCAACCTAGAGGCTTTGACTCTCCTGGAGGGCGTTCTCCTAGTAGCCTCGCAAGTTAGCATGTCTTTTATTTAGTTGGTCGAGTATCGATTTTGGAAAGGGATCTAATGGCAATCTTCATTTTGTTATACTATATTAATTTGTGTGTGTATTGCGTATGCGCTAGTAATAAAGTTTAGAAATCTGAGTGGATTGTGTTCACCATGTTAGCCAGATAATCATTAGCGAGTTTTATGATAGTTTCCCTCTTTACTAACAAGCTATGTTGTCTGCTATCAAGTTCCCACAACCCGATTCCATGGGTGAGTTCCCCGAGTTGACAGTTCACCACTTGAAGCCTTTGGTTATTGATCCTAAATATCTGTCCATGCTCAACATATATTCAAGATATTGTATTCAAATTTATCCGTGAGATTATACCATGATTAGTCTTAGAGCCGCAAGAGAGAGAAAAAGGAGGAAGGAGAGAGAGAATATCATCCAAAGAAACACGAGGGTCTAATTGAGAGACTCGGGGATTTTATAACACGTATAATCTATGTAACAAAATTGTATCACACAAAAAAGAAAGAAGAGGGAGCTCGATGTATCTCAAGAAAAAGAATCACATTGAATGATCATTTGACCCTGTATTTATAGAATTTTAGGCGCCACAAGAAAGGCTATATAATAAAAAAATACATCATAAATATATGAGAGGCTTATGGGCTATAATGTAGCCAACTAGTACATGCGTAACTTGTAGAATGGAGGCATGCAGATGAAGGTGATGTCGGGTTGTCACAGAACCACCATCTCTTCAGAGGAAGTTTCCTAATTGTTGGGGAAATCGCTAACTAATAGGACGGACTGACTTAGAAAGATGAATGGGTCGAACATCTTGGATGAAGTCGCCAAGTTGCCAAGAGAACTCGCCAACTTACGGGATGAAGTTGCCAATATGTTGAAGGGACCATCGGTTTGCTGGAAGGAATCGCCAACCGAGTGTGGTCACCAACTTGCTACGACAAGTCCTAACCGAGTGTGGTTGTCGACTTACTACAAGTTGCTGCTGACCAAGTGTAGTTGTTGACTTATTACAGGAAGTCCATGATCGAAATTCTAAATCAATCATATTAAAATTCAACTAAAATCTAGCTAGAGTCGAAATCAAAATCTCTGATCGAGTTGAGGCTTCCTTGTTTGAACTTGATTCAATATCACCCTTAATAATTGATAAAGACTATCAGTTAAAAGCATGCCAAAGGTCCATTTGCCACTAATTTTTCAAACTTCTTTGCCACTGATTTTGGCATTCACATTATAAAAAAAAAGAAACCTACATGTAGATTTTTCTAACTTCTTTCATATCATACAAAATATCAAAGTTAGTCTCTAATCGTTCTAAATTCTACATTTATACTCATCATATAGCCTTAGCAAAATATATAACAAATATGGAAAGGACATCAGATTTTTTTTACACGCTTAATTAATTTTTCTACTTTTCATGTGATAAAAAAAACTTCAAAAACACTAGTTAGTAAATGTATCATCAAAATTTAATTATAAAGTTTAAGAAAAATTTATGAACAAGCATATATCATATTGTTAGGAAATACTTGAAGATTTCAAGTAAACCCTAACAAGAGAGATAAAAACAACAAGAACGATCCACAAATCCGATGGAAAACAAACAAAACAATAATTTTTAATGAAGAAATCAAACTAACGAAAGAAATAAAAACAATATATAATTGATCCTCAATTCGAGAGGAGGACCAATCTCTCACAATCCCTAGATGAAGCTAGGGCC